TAGGACAATTCTGTTATGAAATAAAGATTGAATATGCGTGACTGTGACTAATGTGTGACTAATGTTTGTGTGTGTGCGTGTGTGTGTGTGTGTGTGTGTGTGTGTGTGTGTGTGTGAGTGAGTGACTAATGTCTTTGTGATTGGCTATGACTAGTGATTAGTGTTAGCGGTTAGTAGCTGTGTGTGTTGAGCGCCTGGGGCTAGCTATACTACGCTAGCAGCTTTCTCCCTCCTCCATTCACTGTAATGAGAAGACAATTAGAAATACACACTCATAACTACAGGGGGGCCTCAGTGTGGAGAGCATCCGGCAGTTAACCCACTGTTCCCCGGGCGCCGATGACGTGGATGTCGACACACACTTTCCTAACCCTTGCATAAAGGATGGGGGTGATGTGAAGGTAAGATCCTTTTTGCGTACTGTATGTCTCCTCTCTTCCCTCTCCCCCTGTTTATGGTCTTATCTAACACAAATCAAGTGAGCGGGTGACTCAGATCCCATCATGTGGAAGCATTACGGGGGGGTTGAGTCAGTCAGGTAAAATATCTCTAATCAATAATGCAGATGAAGGAGAGGAGAGGAGAGGAAATGAAAGGAGAGGAGAGGAGAGGGACATATTCCTGTTGAAGAACAATATATTCAACATTATCATCAATATCCATTCTTGAGCAATACCTTTCTTACTTCTACCACAGACATCAATGGAGAATCAGTATGACTCACAATATCATGCCCTACAATGACTACAGTATGTGGGGAATGATAGAACAGAATAGAACAGAACAGAACATACCTATTATAATTGTAATATTGAAGCATATCTCCTATCGGCCCGTGCAGTGGAGGAGATCTTCGTGGGCTATACTCAGCCTTGTCTCAGGGTAGTAGGTTGGTGGTCTGTTGATATCCCTCTGGTGGTGTGGGGGCTGTGCTTTGGCAAAGTGGGTGGTGTTATATCCTGCCTGGTTGGCCTTGTCCGGGGTTATCGTCGGACGGGGCCACAGTGTCTCCCGACCCCCCCCCCCCCCTGTCTCAGCCTCCAGTATCTATGCTGCAATAGTCTATGTGCCGGGGGGCTAGGGTCAGTGTTATATCTGGTGTTATTCTCCTGTCTTATCCGGTGTCCTGTGTGAATTTAAGTATGCTCCCTCTAATTCTCTCTCTCTCCCTCTCTAGCTCCCATCCCGGAGGACCTGAGTCCTAGGACCATGCCTCAGGACTACCTGGCCTGATGACTCCTTGCTGTCCCCAGTCCACCTGGTCGTGCTGCTGCTCCAGTTTCCACTCTTTTGCCTGCGGCTATGGAACTCTGACCTGTTCACCAGACGTGCTACCTTGTCCCACACCTGCTGTTTTAAACTCACTCTCTCTTCCGCACCTGCTATTTCAACCTCTAAATGACCAGCTATGAAAAGCCAAGTGACATTTACTCCTGATGTACTGACCTGTTGCAACCTCTACAACCACTCTGATTATTATTTGACCCTGCTGGTCATCTATGAACGTTTGAACATCTTGGAGAACAATCTGGCCTTCATGGCCATGTACTGTTATAATCTCCACCCGGCACAGCCAGAAGGGGACTGGCCACCCCTCAGAGCCTGGTTCCTCTCTAGGTTTCTTCCTAGGTTTCTGCCTTTCTAGGGAGTTTTTCCTAGCCACCGTGCTTCTACATCTGCATTGCTTGCTGTTTGGGGTTTTAGGCTGGGTTTCTGTATAGCACTTTGTGACATCTGCTGATGTAAAAAGGGCTTTATAAATACATTTGATTGATTGATTTGATTGATTTGATTGATCCAAATTATGCCAATATTTATTTTGTGCTTCAGGTATACAGCCAGGTCCAAAATTATAAAAATGATTGGCATGCTTGATCTGACCATAGTACCGCCTGGAGTTTGCTGAACAGCACTGGCACTTGGATTGGAACCGGTGCTATGGTCAAATGACATGAAAAAAGAGCTCTTTGGCCATGCACACCAGTGGTGGGTTTGGCATAAAAAAATTGAAGCACATGCAGAAAAGTACCTCATACCCACTGTAAAAGATAGTGGTGGATCTTTGATGTTATAGGGGTGTTATGCTTCCACTGGGGTCTTGAGGCCCTTGTTAAGGTCAACTGCCAAAAACCTGGTTGCCTCTAACAGGAGACTGAAACTGGGCCGTAAGTGGATCTTCCAGCAAGACAATAACCCTGAGCACACATCAAAATCCACAAAGAAATTGTTAATTTACCACAAAATCAACATTTTGCAATGGCCATCTCAGTCTCCGGAGTTGAACCCCATTGTATGAAAGAGGGCAGTCCATAAGCGCAGACAGATGAATATCAATGATCTGGAAAGATTCTCTATGGAGGAATCAGGAAGGGTCTAACATCCTTCCCAATGTGTTCTCCAATCTCATAAAACAATTTAGGAAAAGGCTCAGTGTCATTATCCTTGCAACAGGAGAGTGCTGGAGTATTGAAAACAGGAGTGTAGATTTTTAGACCCTCTTTTTAGATTTGTTTAATTACTTGTTAAACAAAATCTCTTTCTCTGATCAGTTGTATTAGCATAATATAATATAATAATAGCTCAGTATTTCTATTATTTATTTTATACAATATATTCATCTTTATCAAGGGTGCCAATAATTCTGGACAAAACTGTACATGACTGGACCTGATGAACCAATTCGTTCATATGCCACTGTGATATACAAAAAGGCTGTGACAACTAAAAGACAACAGTCACACAGTTGCGGAATAAATTCAACAACACATACGTTTGTTTCATCACTAAACCAGAGGAAACTTTTAAAAGCGTCTGCTAAATGGCATATTATTATTATTAGCTAAAATGCTTGCTAGCTTGACTTTCTCGCATGGGCAACAATGAACCAGCTAAGTTAGCTAGCTAGCTAGTTAACGTGAGCCTACCTAGCTACATCTAGGCTACATATTGAACTTCAATCGTCTCAGGCCAATAGCACAACATAAGAATTTATGGTTAGATCAGAATCGCCGTCATAATCATTGGCCTGTATAGAGAATTAAGTCAAAAACACAAGTCCAAATCCTCATCTCCATCCATGGCTTAGGAAAGGGATGATTTAGCAAGCTAGCTACTGCAGGACATCAACACAAGCAGACCAGAAACAGACATGTTTTTCTGAAAATGACATTTTGCAAAGGAAGCGATTTCATTGGTCTGAAGCCAAATCCTAACTGGTCTCCCTTGGGGGGGGGCATTTTGCTGCACCAGGACAACCCACAGTTGAGCTCAGCTCAACGCTCATTGGCTAATTATTTTATAATTGTTTTATCAAGGGAGGCCAAATGCTTGCTGGCATCAATCAATCAAATGCTAATGCTGATGTTAAAATGTTTTGGTCCAGACAGCATCAGATACCTGTGCTACACATACTGAGGCAGAGGGGTGCTGTTTCCCTCCCTCTGATGATTTCTCCGGTGAGATTCAGCCACTTGCGATTTGAAGGAAAATTATTAAAACACAGAGACAAAAGATAAAATATTTTTATTGGTCAAATATTTTGGGAAGGCTGGCTTCCCTTGGCATCCATGAATACACACCACTGAAATGTGTAAGGGTTGTTAAAGCGCCAGACATTATGGATAATGAGATTGGCTGTCAGACCATGTGATATATATTTCTATTGATTGCTCCTTCGATGTGTGTGTACGTGTGTGCGCATGCGCTGTGTGTGTCACCCACAAAATCTTATTCCATATCATTAATCCATCATGGTAGAGCTATAAAGGTGTTCTGTTGAATGACAGATTAAATGCCTTCTGATGAAACCAGGGAACTCTTTACAATGTTCCAGACACAGGGTCAGAATCTATACAAGTAGTGCATGAGTCCTCTTCAGACAAGACCGGAAGGAACTGAAAGATTAATTATATATCTATTGAAATAAGGCACGTTTTTAACCATGAAAACCACATATCATTATTCTGGCCAATAAAGAGAAATTAAATTCAAATTAATGTGCCCTATTTCAGATATTGCTTTCATTTATGGGTTTTGCAGAAAGGAATATAATGATATTGAAAGATGGGTGAATATGAAGGATTCTATTGTGATACAATCCCTGAAATGAAGAAATGAAAGCCTTAGATTTCCTCTGACCTAGATTCTAGATTGCATCCCAAATGGCATCCTATTCCCTATAGTGCACTACTTTTGACCAGAGCCCAAAGGCTCTATAGCGCACTGTAATGGTGCCATTTGGGAAGCAGTCCTAGAGTGTATAGAAACTATGGTAATATAATGGTGATTAGAACTGTGGAGTTCTGCACTGGGAACTGTGAAACAACGAAATGCCAAATACTGTCTTTACTGTGAAACACACACACTGTGGACAAATGTATTGTAACCAAGCCAGCAATGTACTGTAACCAAGCCAGCAATGTACTGTAACCAAGCCAGCAATGTAGTGACAGTAACAATTAAAAGAGGACACACACGGGCAGGCACGGATGCACACACACCAGTAGGACCCTATCAAGTGAGTTCTTATGTGGCATTTTCTCACCGTCCAGATAAGTTCCTCCTGCTATCAGGGTGTGTTTGTGTGTGTATGTGTGTATGTGGTGTCCATGAAGACAAGTGGGCAACCAGTAATCTCTGATCTATAAGCCGTTGAGAACACAGAGACAAAGAGGAGAAGAAGAGCCCAATGCCGCCTCCACAGCCTCAATATCACACCTCACTTAGAGTGTGTGTGTGTGTGTCTGTCTGTCTGTGTTTGTATGTGTGTGTGTAGCGGTAGCACCCTTCCTGGGTGTAGCATTAGCAGTAACATTAGCATGGAGGAAGTGATAGGCAGGGTAGACACAAAGACCAGAGAGATAATGCCTAGAGGATAGGAAAACACAAGATGTAGAGTGGATGTTATAGTGAAACGAGTTGATGATATGAATGAAAGCTTGTTTCAATTCATGAGAACAAAATGTTTGTGGCTTTTGCTCTTTTCTTTATCTGTGTCCTACCTTGTTCTCTCCCTGTTCCTCTGTGTTAAGTGGGTCAGGGTGATGGGCTGGCTGGCAGGGAGAGAGGGACCTGCCTGCCTGCCTGCCTGCCGCAAAAGTAGCAAAATGTGAATGTTGAATTTTTGTTGCACACATATCCAGTAAAAGAAATGTGGGATTACATAATAAAAACAGTTTGACTGCAGAAGTTCTTTACATTTTTTATTCATTTATTTGCCAAGTAGCATACATATTAGTTATTCGATGACATCTAAAAATTTATTCCAAATCAAATCAAATGTTATTTGTCACATACACGTGTTTAGCAGATGTTATAGCGGGTGTAGCGAAATTGTGAGAGCCTATAATATAATTTCCCTCCAAAATGCATAGTTTTGGAGCGAAATGCAATAATAAATAGTCAAGGTAGCAGAGAGTAGGCTCTTTCAACAATGAGACCAACGTTGAGGAAGGCGGTGTTGATCACGCTGTTGGGCCGGGACCAGCTCAGCCGAAAGCACAGGTCAGTGTGGGTCCAGAGACGGTTTAAGTCCCAAAAGCAGGCAGGGGAGTTCCACCGTCTTCGACTGTTTGGAGAGGAATTCCGAAGTTACTTTAGTCTGGACCGAAGCCAGTTCGATCACCTGCTCCAGATGGTTGAAGCCAGGATCGCCCGGATGGATACCAACTACCGGGAGTACATCAGCCCAGTTGAACGCCTGACGATTTGTCTCTAGTAAATTTTTAAAACCTTTGATACCGTAATTGATTGATATTAGATATATTTTATGTGCAACCTAGCTAGCAAAAGGGCTCTCTAGTTAATAGCCCCTATGTGACATTTACAGAACGTTCATTAGGACTATAACCTTTCCAAAGTTGGTTTAAAATCATTTTTTAATGATGCAATGTTACCAAATGAAAAGGAAGTTGGGGTGCCTTCTGCCCTGATGAAGGTAGGCTAGTCTTCTCCAGGACCTCTTGTTGGTCAAGACAGTTACAGTCATTCATTACATTCTTATTGGAATCATGTACACCCTTAGAAAAAAGGGTTCCAAAAGTGTCCTTCTGCTTTCCCCATAGGATAACCCTTTTTGGTTCCAGGTAGAACCCTTTTTGGTTCCAGGTAGAACCCTTTGGGGAAAAGGTTATACATGGAACACAATAGGGTTCTACTTGGAACCAAAAGGGTTCTACCTGGAACCAAAAAGGGTACTACCTGGAACCAAAAAGGGTTCTTCAAAGGGTTCTCCTATGGGGACAGCCGGAGAACCCTTTTAGGTTCTAGATATAACCTTTTTTTCGAAGAGTAGAGTTGGCCTGGGCTACAGTTTATTGATACAGTCATAGACTGAATTGTACTGTTTCAAGGCATTGTTAATGATAGTTGATGAGTATTACAATATAATTAGTAGAGCATAATAAACAGTAATGAGGTAGCTATATGAGTATATAGAATATGTGGGTGGAATTCAAGTTACACACAATATTTATAATTATATTTCAGATTCTTGGTGACAGGGGACTCCTACAGGACCATCAGATTCAGCTTCTGAGTTGGATGGTCCACGGTGGCAGGCAATGTCCCCTCTGTGGAACAAGCCATTTGGGACTGTCTTTTTGGTGAATACATGCCTGTCCCCAAGGAGGAAGACTGGAGGGCCATCGCTGCCGAGTTCCTGGTGAGGTGGAATTTCCCCAACTGTCTTGGCTCCATTGACGGTAAACATGTAGTAATCCAGGCTCCACCGTGCTCGGGTTCGCAATTCTACAACTACAAGGGTACATATTCAGTTGTACTCTTGACTGTTGTAGATGCCAACTACTGTTTCCGTGTCGTCGATGTTGGTGCTTACGGCAAGGGAAGTGATGGCGGGACCCTCCGGGACTCTACCTTCAGCCAGGCACTTCAGGATGGCACCCTGGATATTAAACAGATTAAGCCTAAATTAGATATTAATAAACAAAAGAAACAACTGACTATGAAAACTTTATAATTTAATAACTATTCAAGTACAGGAAATTACATGACAGGTATGTGTTGTAAAACATTTACAACAAATAAAACAACTATTGAAAGAGGTGTGTGTGTGCATGTATGTGCGTGTAAAAATACCTAAAGTAATGTGTAGCCTGTAATCTGTAAGAGAACAACAAGAGCATGTATTTTTGGCACAACTGCAGACAGATACAGGGACTACTCATAAAGCCTAGATATAGTAGCAGGACTTCAGACATGGCCATAAAGAGAGAGAGGGCAGGGCACTGGAAATCTGAGGTACAGAGAGGAGTGGAGGAGAGGTGTGTGTGTGTCTCTGTCTCTAAATAAAATAATTTGTAGCCATAACACAGCTAAAGAAACAAATGGCCACTGGACGTCATAGACCAGTCGATGGAACATAACTTCACAAAAAGTTTCAACACCCTGGTTTTCAAGTGGTTTGAAATGAAATAAATATATTCACCTTCAGTCTTGTAAGAGACCAACAAGAGCATCTGTGTATTATCCGGTGTGTGAGTTTCAATTCTGTCAATTCAGAAATCTATGTAACACTAATAATGAACGCTATCCTAAGACTTTAGAAACAAATGACTTTATGAATTGACTGAATTTAAAACGGAACTGATGTGTGTGAAAGGAAAGGTACAATGAGGGAGGTCAAAACAACAACCAGACAACTCCTCTCCATTTCCTGTCCTTCCTGTGAGCTGGTCGGCTAAATTGACTCCATCTCTGGGAGGGAAGAGAAAAACAACACATACAAGCATTACATAATATAAAACCATAGAAGGTGAGATTTATGTTAACTAAATACTGCTTGTATAGTGTAGTTAGTGGCATAAATATTGGAACAGTGAGCAAAGTTGGTAACTATTGCTGTTTACTCATGGAATATGTATTTCAGATCAAAAGATGAATATGACAGGCAAATATTTAGACAGAAAACTGTTGTTTTAGGATATTTTCTAACCCAGAAACAACAGCTATACATTTGCCTCAATATAATCCTTTAATCTGAAATACCAGTTAGCCTACATGAGTATACTGTAAAAATGACCTACTTTACTTCACTGTCGCAATACTTATGACACTACCAGTGGAGAAAACAAAATGTACCATTGAACTCGGCTTCGAAAAGCAACTGATGAATTTTAACCTTGACTGCTGCTTTTCTTTGCTGAGGCAGCCTCTTCAGGGTTGGCACCAGGCTCATGGCAAAGAGGGTCTCTTCATCCTCCTTCCTGTGAGCATCAGGTTGAGCTGCATCCCTCTCGTCGGCTTGGGGGAGCTGAAATGAGTTACATTTACATTTACATTTTAGTCATTTAGCAGACGCTCTTATCCAGAGCGACTTACAGTTAGTGAATACATATTTTTGTATTTTTTTGTTTGTAATACTGGCCCCCCATGGGAATCGAACCCACAACCCTGGCGTTGCAATCGCCATGCTCTATCAACTGAGCTACATCCCTGCCGGCCATTCCCTCCCCTACACGACGCTGGGCCAATTGTGCATCGCCCATGAGTCTCCCGGTCGCGGCCGGCTGCGACAGAGCCTGGATTCGAACCAGGATCTCTAGTGGCACAGTTAGCACTGCGATGCGGCGCCTTAGACCACTGCGCCACTCAGGAGACGAGTTGACGAGTTGAGTGGATCTGGGGGCTGGTACCTCCGATGACGCCTGGTGTGACGTTGTTCCTCTTCCTTTCTCTCCCCGTTTGTCTCCACGGCCACTTCCTGTTCAACAAGGTCCTCAGTGGTCACTTCCGTCAGGGTCATAATCATTTCACCGGGTCCTAGATCCAGAGGTGCTTCCTCCATTTCATCATCTTGTAGATGACTTGTAGATGACATAGAGGGTCTTGATGCACCGGTGGCGCCCACACTTGTAGATGACATAGAGGGTCTTGATGCACCGGTGGCGACCACACTTGTAGATGACATAGAGGGTCTTGATGCACCGGTGGCGACCACACTTGTAGATGACATAGAGGGTCTTGATGCACCGGTGGCGACCACACTTGTAGATGACATAGAGGGTCTTGATGCACCGGTGGCGACCACACTTGTGGATGACATAGAGGGTCTTGATGCACCGGTGGCGCCCACACTTGTGGATGACGTAGAGGGTCTGGCTGTAAAATTGCCACTCGTTGCCCTAGGCACAATAAATGGATCCAAAAAAGAAAGAATGTGGCAGAAGCGCCAAGGCCGCTGGCCTGAAGCTGCTGACCCAGACCTCTTCTTCTCTTTCTCTGCCCTTCTCTATCTCTGATACCTGTCCCTGAGTCCTCTCCAGTTCCTCATAGACATGAACATGATAAGCCAAACCATTACCTAGCATAAATATAGTTATTAGATAGATGGACATGGACATGTCACCTACTGTACACACAGACACACACACACGGTTATCTGGCCAAATTATTAGGGGTAGTATATACCATAATTTCTATTACTATTTATTACTATAATTTATATTACTATCTCTTTCACACACACATACCTCATTGACTAGGTTAGCAAGCTAGCTAGCTAGGTTAGCTAGCTAACTAGCTAGGTTAGCTAGCTAACTAGCCACATCTAGCACAAGCTCACTACTAAACTGACCTGGCAATCCTACTATCGTGGACACTTGCATCCAAGCATCATTTTTTTTGTGTTTATGTCCCTGTAGCTGTCAGCAGTTGTGTCAAAAAGAGAAGGTTTTGAGGATACTGCGAAAATGATTTTCTCCTAAATGTGTCCAACCGCATGCGACTGTGTGCAACACGTGCGTAGATACCTGCATTCAGTATAATTGCAACAGATTGTTGTGAGGAAGACAGATAGTTGAGAGAATCAATGCTCATTTGGCAGACTAAACACGCACACACATAAACAAACACAAACAAACACACACACACACACGCACACACTGTGTCTGATGCACATCTGTGGTGCGAGGGAAAAGATATGGATCGTTCCTGTAAGGTCCACCTACAGATTGCCTCCTCATCCTGATCAGCAGATACCAAGCAGCTACTGTCAGTCAGGCTCTTTGGTACATTCTGTCCTCTCTGAAGTCATTTCATTGACTGATAAAAAAGAAAACTGTTTCACTGTCTCATCTCACACGTCTCTTTCTCTCTCTTTCTTTCTTTCTCTCTCTCTTTCCACTCCCTCTTCTCTCTCCCTCCTCCTTCTCCTCTATCCCTTCCTCTTGTCCTTTCTCTCTCCCTCACCTTCCTCTTCTGTCTCTTTGTCCTCTCCCCTTCTTTCCTCTACTCCTCCCTCATTCTCCCCTCTCCCTATATCCTCTCCCTCACCCTCTTTCCTCACTCCACCTGTCTCTGCACCAGTCACAACCTAGTTCCCCTCCACCATGAAGTAAAAGGTCATGATGCGTATCGTTTATTGCCTTCCCCCTGTGCGACATTTATTACATCACCCCGAACAAGGTTTATTACTTTCCCCGGCCCTGTGGGCCCTGGTGGTTGCTATGGGAGACCAACCAACGAGAGAGAGATTGGCTACAAGCTGCCACAAGACAGTCAGGACCGGCTAGAGTTAAATCACACACAAACACACACACATTCACATGCACACACACACAAACACTCGTACACACAAATGCTTGCACACACAAACGCTCGCACACACACACTCTCGTACACACAAAAGAGAAAGACAGAGTGACTAGGTCCTTGAAACGCATAATGAATATTTAATTTAATCACATTGACTCAGTCTTGAAACAATGATGTGTCGGCTTTCACGAGAAGTGAAGACATTGTTATTTAAGGGTATATTAAACGTTTCTTGACTCTCTTTGCGTATGTTCCAAATGACACCCTATTCCCTATGGGCCCTGGTCAAAAGAAGTGCACTATAAAGGGAATAGTGGGTAATTTTGAATACACCCCTCTTATTCCATCTCTGCTGAATAGCTGTGTGCTTATCACCAAGGTCATCAGGCAAGACAATGGCTAGGACAGATAACAATCTACACTCACCATAATTACTATTCTTTCAATCTGTTCAAAATGCGAAGATATTACATTTTTTAAACATTTTAGTCATTTAGCAGACGCTCACAACGAACCCACAACCCTGGCATTGCAAACGCCATGCTCTACCAACTGAGCTACAAGGGGGGCTACACATGTTCAGTGGATATAGAGACAGTTTTCAGTTCATGGTCACTCACGTTACTGAAGGAAAGCACATATATTAACAAAACCATGGCTCATAGACTCGGAAGGACAACTATTCATCACATAGTTACTGAGAGTTCAATGAGACAATAAGCGGAGGCTGAAACATTTTCTGAAAACATAGGTTGTTTTCCCAATGCATTTCTCGCAGTTCCACTAGAAATTCTGAGAACTGTCAAGAGTCTTGGGACATTCGAAGGACGTTCTGTACCTGAAATGTACAAACACAACAACAGCATCCTGTGATACTGTAGTATTGTTACAGAAAACTACAAACTGCCACAACAACACACCACAGTAGGGACCTAGTTCTATTCCTCCTCAATCTGATTATTCTGCTACTTCTAACAATGGGTATTGTCAATGGCATTTTTGGTTGACTGAAGAGCCATTACCAATGTGGTAGAAGAATCAACGAAAGACAAGGCTCATAGGAGATGATTTGTTGAAGCCAATGATTTAGAATACTGATGATTCCCACTGAGTTTTCAACCAGACTTTTAAATGAACCCAGGGTAGCTTTAACTCAGAAGACATAAATTATTTACTTATTTTATCCTTAATAATAGATACAATATTACTCATACTACTCAGCTCTCTCTCTCTCTCTCTCTCTCTGCATTATTAATTCACTCTCCTTTTCCCTTTTATCCCCTCAGTCAAGGCAGGACACAGCCATTCAATCTAATATCTAACATACACTATACAAAAGTATGTGGACACCTCTTCAAATTAGTGGATTCGGCTATTTCAGCTACATCTGTTGCCGATAGGTGTATAAAATCAAGCACACCGCCATGCAATCTCCATAGACAAACATTGGCAGTAGAATGGCCTTACTGAAGAGCTCAGTGACTTTCAATGTGGCACTGTTATAGGATGCCACCTTTCCAACAAGTCAGTTGGTCAAATTTCTGCCCTGCTAGAGCTGCCCCGGGCAACTGTAAGTGCTGTTATTGTGAAGTGGAAATGTCTAGGAGGAACAACGGCTCAGCCGTGAAGTGGTAGGCCACACAAGCTCACAGAACGGGACCGCCGAGTGCTGAAGCGCGTAGTGCGTAAAAATGGTCTGTCCTCAGTTGCAATACTCAATACCGAGTTCCAAACTGCCTCTGGAAGCTACTTCAGCACAAGCACTATTCGTCAGGAGCTTCATGAAATGGGTTTCCATGGCCGAGCAGCCACACACAAGCCTAAGATCATCATGCACAATGCCAAGTGTCAGCTGGAGTAGTGTAACGCTCGCTGCCATTGGACTCTGGAGCAGTGGAAATGCGTTCTCTGGAGTGATAAATCACGCTTCACTATCTGGCAGTCCGACGGACGAATCTGGGTTTGGCGGATGCAAGGAGAACGCTACCTGCCCGAATGCATAGTGCCAACTGTAAAGTTTGGTGGAGGAGGAATAATGGTCTGGGGCTTTTTTTCATGGTTCGGGCTAGACCCCTTAGTTCCAGTGAAGGGAAATCGTAACGCTACAGCATACAATTACATTCTAGACAATTCTGTGCTTCCAACTTTGTGGCAACAGTTTGGGGAAGGCCCTTTGCTGTTTCAGCATGACAATGACCTCATGCACAAAGTGAAGTCCATGCAGAAATGGTTTGTTGAGATCATTGTGGAAGAACTTGACTGGCCTGCACAAAGCCCTGACCTCAACCCCATCGAACACTGTTGGGATGAATTGGAACACCGACTGCGAGCCAGGCCTAATCGCCCAACATCAGTGCCCGACTTCACTAATGCGCTTGTGGCTGAATGGAAGCAAGTCCCGCAGCAATGTTCCAATATGTAGTGGAAAGCCTTCCCAGAAGAGTGGAGGCCGTTATAGCAGCAAAGGGGGGGACCAACTCCATATTAATGCCCATGATTTTGTTTGACGAGCAGGTATCCACATACTTTTGGTCATTTAGTGTATCTAATATATTTTCTAATCCATGCAATTTTATATTGATAAATGAATTATACAGTATAACATAATAATCTTCCACCTCTCCCTCCTCCTCCCTGCCTCCCCCTCTCGCCCCTCCTCTCCATCAGATGATGTCTGTCATTCATCAAAATGAGCAACAGTGTTTCTCCTCCCTCACTCCGTCCCTCACTCCAACACAGCAGGATTCATCCTTCCTCACCCTTTCTCTCCTCTCTCACATACCCCTCACATCATCATTAGACTGACAAATGGCAATCCTTAAAATGTGCAGGGAAGTGTTTCTCCACCCCACTCCCTCCCTCCCTCCCTCCCTCCCTCCCTCCCTCCCTCCCTCCTTCCTTCACTCGAACACAACAGGAGCGAATCGATCTCTGGTAGAACCGCTGGTAGAAAAACACACTGGGGAACCATATCCCCCGCAGAACCTGCCAGATCTCAATAGAACCACTGACACTCAACAGCTAACATAGAACCACCGCTGTAGAAGCCCTTCCATAGAACCACTGCTGTAGAACCCCTTCCATAGAATCATTTCTTCCTTAGGAACCAGAATTAGCGTGGTCCGAGATTCCTATTGTTTTCACATTGCCCTTATGGCTTGAGTCTTTACTGTTGCTCTGAGTCTGGTCAATTGTGAAGGCCTGTCAAGACCCTGTCATATATTATAGATTGATGATTTGATACTTTCTTGACTAGTTAGGAATGTTATTTAACTGCCCAGTTCAGATGAAGGAGAGGAGATGAGGAGACAAGGAGAGGAAGCTGGTGAGATCATGGTACCAGATATTCAGTCTCATCTGGATGATGTAATAGCTTTCCCATCAACCCCCTCTAGAGAGGCACCACTTTAAGACGAGAGAAGGTTGAAAAGTTCTAGCATATTTATAGTGCTTTATCAGTCTAGCTATAGAAATAAGTCATACCTTCTTCCAAATGGTAGGAGCTACATGGTTAAGCCTGGGAGAGGAGAGAGGGAGATTGAGGAAAGAGATGGAATAGAGAGAGGTAGATGAGAGTGGGAGTGGTGGAGGAAAGGAAGGGAGGCGAGAGCTTGGCAGGGAAGATGGAGGGGAGAAAAAAAGGAGAAAGGCAGGCAGAGGAAGAGAGGAGAGAGAGAAGAGAGGGGCATGTGGGAGGAAGTCTAGTCTGGATCTATGGAAGCAGAATAAACAAAGATACAGGCCTGTCGCAAGGGATGAGTCTCTCTCTGGAGATCTCTGCTAGTGGACATGAAAAAAGGTGAAGAAAAAGAGAAAAAAATAGTGAAACAATAAAAAATGAAGAGTGGTGGTAAAGAAAACGGTGTTAACACTTCCCCTTTTGAGAATCACATTCGTCCTGGACCACTTGATTTCTACCAATCAAGATTTCTACCAAAGCATAGTAATGTTTCTGTCCTATCGTTTTTGACCAGCAGTTGATTGTGGAATTTGTTTGCATTTACAATAAGTTGGTAACGTTAGCGCAGGAGCAATGGAGTACATTATTATTTCTTTGTTTTGGTGCCCATCTCTCTCTCCCATTGTAGACATTGTATGATAACAGTGTGTGATATACTGGCAGTTAGGAGTTTATTACCATGAAAGTGATTCTTTATCATGAGGATTAATCTGCAATATGATTTATTACTACAGGATTCTCCATCATCTGAAGAGAGAGCTAAATACAGAAAACCTCTCTCACTTTCTCTTCCTCCCCCTCTTTTTCTCTCCCCTTATAATATAATAATATAATATGCCATTTAGCAGACGCTTTTATCCAAAGCGACTTACAGTCATGCGTGCATACATTTTATTTTTTTGTGTATGGGTGGTCCCGGGGATCGAACCCACTACCTTAGCGTTACAAGCGCCGTGCTCTACCAGCTGAGCTACAGAGGACCACCCTTCTCTCTCTCCGTCTCTCTTTCTCCCACTTTCTCCTCTCTATTTCTTCCCTACCCCCCACAGTACAGCTCCATGGTTCTCCTCGTTCATTTCTCCAGGTCGTTTTATTACCATACAGTATTAACTCCCTAGGGCAGGGTTTCCCAAACTCGTTACAGCCTTATTCTAAAATGGATTCAATTGTTTTCTTCTCCCGCTGAAAAACATCCCCACAGCATGATGTTTCCACCACCCTGCTTCACCGTAGGGATGGTGCCAGGTTTCCTCCAGACATGACACTTGGCATTCAGGCCAAAGAGTTTAATCTTGGTTTCATCAGACCAGAGAATCTTG